AAATTTAACTTAATTTTATCTCTAATAGTATTTTTCAGTAAAAACACATTATTGTTAGAATGATTTTCAATTTGAAGTCTGTTTCATTCCCTTCAAAAACTGTTTTTATTTTTCCCTCAAAAGAAAATCAGGGGTGGGTGCAATTTTTGATAAATTACTAATTCCATATTTGGTACTTTTTGAAAGTTTGTAGTTTTTCAGAATTATAATTTGCATGTTCTCTATCCACTTCTCTCTCCTTAAAACACATTTATTTCACCTGTAGAGAAAATTTTCACATTTCATATGTTCTTTCTGACCTTAGTTGTTCTGAAACATTGGTAGCAGTTGTCTTAGTGATTTAAAAAAAATGTATAATCTCTATTTAATTTTTTTCTTCCATGCCTCCTTTCTAGTGGCTTTCTCAGTTTTTTTTTTGTTCAAATGTTCCATGTTAGATTACAAATGGTTATGTTTAGTTTGAATCTACATGTACATGTATCATTAATTTTATTTTAAGCAAAAACTGATTAGCTTCATGTGAAAATGTTCAGCTCTGATAAGAATTGTCTGAGCACATTTGACAGTAATCCACTAAGAAACAGATTAACAGAAATCTTATGGTCGTCTTATTTGATTGAAGAATGATAACATTAAATCTAATTTCTTATTGGCAAATAAAAAACATACAAGAAAAGGTACTAAACGGCGCTAGAGTTTCTTTATCTTGTGGTTTAAAAGTACATGTCTAACATTCAAACTCTGTGACATGATTTCAGATGCCAAGACTATGAGCCTACTCCCTGTATCAGGTAGAACTTTTAGATGGCTTAAGTACTCAAATCATATTCAAGCTGAAAGTGACTCTGCTTTTAACTTTTAACAACTGTCAACACCAGCAGGTACTATACTTGCTTAAGAGAAATGATTTGTGTGTGTGTGTGTGTTGGAGGAGCAATTTGATACTCTTGGAATGCTAAGAAGTGTATTTGAATATTGCAATAGCATTGAATTAAGTTCTGTATTATATTTGATATCCTTATAGTTAAAAACTTAAAAGTTAACTTGTTATTAACTATTAGTCAGTTTTAAAATTTAGATTTAACTGTAATTAAAATGGTAGAGATCTTTTTTTACAATTGTATTAAAAGACAAATTCATTAAAATAAGTTGTTCAACACCAACTGAGGAAGAGGAGGAGGAAGAGGAGGAGGAGAAAACTTGAGAAAAACAGTCCAATTAAAACTTTTTTGTTTGTTTTAAAAAGCAAAGGTCGGGTCTGCGAAGGAGGGGGGTCAGGTTTTTACAGCAGCATTGCTCCTTGTGGTCAATGAATGACTCACAGGGAAGGAGGAAGGGCCTGCCTGGGGAGGGAGACAAGTCCAGCTCAGATATCTCTTAGAAAATCAATCAGAGAACTACTGTCTGGAGGGGAGAGCAGGGAGGGGGAGGGCAACCAGACTGGGCGACAGGTGTGAGACAAGCAGCTGAGGAGGCACGGAGAGATGTGGTGGAACAATGGAGTTCATATTGGGATAAAGCCAAATGCAGGAGGGAGAAACCCCCCCCCACCCCCACCCTGGCTGCAGGAGAGCAGGGGTCCTTGAGGGTGGAGATGAGAGAAGTCACAGGAAGAATCTCTTGGCCCAGAAGTCCTCAGCTTCTAACCTCCCTCAGTCTGACTAGAGAAACCACAGTGTCCACAGCAACAAAAAGGAGAGAGGAAAACCCCTAACTCCAGATACTGAGCGCTCCTCAGGAGCACGCTGCTGACTCCAGGAAGAGGACAGGTCTTGGGGGTGGGGGGCTGGAAACTGTCTCAAAATCTATTAATTTTGATAAAGTGTCCCCTGAAAGGCAGACCTCTAAGGGAGTTGAGTCTCTCTCAAAGATCAATTCAGGAGGCAGAGCTGGGACTCAGGGGCATCAGAAGAACCGGGCTGTTGGAAAGGAAGGGCAAGGCTGGGAGGGGAGGGAGGGAAGCAAGGTGCAGCAGGGATGCGATGCGGGAGGAGGTGGTGGGGTATGCCCTGAAAAGAGGAGCTGAGATTTTGTGGCAAAGGAGCTGCGTCCGGCCCCCGCACTTCTCCCCCCAATTCCAGAGTCCACCAAGCCGGATAGAGACTCCTTGGATTCGCCTGGCATCTCCCGCTTTGAAGAACCACCATGAGCCCACTCACCAACCGCGGAACCCAGAGGTGCACAAAGAGCAGTGCCGACCAGGAGCAGCAGAGCGCCCAGTCTTATAGGGTCTGCCATTCTCCTAGGTGATCAGCAGAGAGAGGCTGCCTGACAGTTGCCTGGAAGGGAGCCACACTGGTGGCATGCACAGGGCAGGTGTGTCAATAAACACTCAGACTACAAGGATTGATGCCTGACAAAACCAATCAGGAGCAGAGAGGGAGGAGCTACGCTTAAAGGAGAACTTCCCTTCAAGCACAGGATGAAGGCTAAATAAACTACTCCAAAGACAGGGGGAAATAGCCACTATGTCACACTTGCCTTAACCTCCAGGAAAGTGCCTCTGATTTAGGATTCCCCAGGTAAGATAGAATAAGGGCAGCTAGGTGAATGCTGTAGGGTCAGATTCTGAGCAACTGCCATGGCTCAACCTTAGAAACACTGCCACATCTCTGGGAACCTAGTGGAATTCAGCCTACAGAGAAGCATGGGTCTCCCCAAGCTCCTGTAGCACATCACCCCATGTGGCTGGTTCTAGCTTGTTCCTTGCTTGGCACACTTCTGGAAGAGCCAAGCCTTTTTACTCTCCCAACACACTGCCCTCAATCAAGTACAACCTTGCTGGCAAAGGAGCTGCATCTGTCCCTGCACTTCTCCCCCCAATTCAGGAGCCCTGAATTACAAAGAGATTACAAGAGCTCTTTACAGATTTCAGCTACCTCTGCTCTCAGAAGCACCTTTCACACAAAAATCCATCAGGCTCCAAACACCCTTAGACATTTCAGCCATTCTAATCTGCTCTTTCTCCTGCCATTGACTCCAAGATCCAGCCAGGTTTAGTTTCCTCTGCCCACATCTTGTCACTACCCTAGCTCTCCCAGGCACTTCATGAGCCCCATCAGACTGCTCCTTATAGGCCAGTCCAACACCGACCAGTCTCACTTAGTGCATCTGCATTTCTGGGCCCATTTGGCCCTCAAATCAAACAGATCAAGAAGCCCACTCTACACTTCTCCAACCATACAGACCCCCACCACCTACCTACTTCTCTTAAAAGCATCCCCTTGGTCACTTCTGATTGACCCTTTCCCCTGCTTCTCTAGCTCCTGAAACCCTTTTACATCTCCACAGTCACTACCTTAATCCAAACTTTCAACTACTTTCATCCAAAAATACTGCAAATGCTTCTTCATAAATACTGTGTCTATCTCCAGTTGTCACCATAATGCCCCAAGCCAATACACAGCTGCTGCATCTGCTCATTTTAACACAGGATACCTCTACTCTCCCATTAAACCCTACAGATGCCACAATCTGCTGTCTAGCATCACCCTTTCCCCGCATTTCTCTGGTCACATCTCTCCTAGGCTGAGGTCAAATCAAGCTGCCCTGATCTCCTTACCCTGTCTCAACAGGATGCTATTGCAAAGCAGGGGCATGCTCCTGCCTTTGCCTTCTAAACATCAGATCTCTCCACATCCTTAAAATAATCACATGAACACAGTAGTGATGGTGGCATAACTTCATGATTATACTAAAACCCACTGACTTGCACACTTTCAAAGTCCAACTTCTGGTAAATGAATTATATCTCAGTAATAATAGTAATAACCATGCTATGGAAACCTCCTTGTGCTGGAAGTTTGCCTTGTCCCCAACATACATCTCTTGGTCTTTCCAACATGGAGTTAGTTGTTCTCTACCTTGATTGCTTAGGAGAACCACCTGCAGAGTCCTTGACATACTTGTGCCCTGGGCCACAGCCAAAACCTATTCAACAGGTAAAGCTAGGTGGGAACTAGGCTGCAGTGTCTTTTAAAGTTCCCTAGGTGTTGTGAGTATGTAGGTAAGTTTCAGAACCAGAGTTCCAGCACATGATGGTCCTAACTATGCCTTCTCCTAAACCCTTCTTACCATCCATGACATTCCCCAGTGGACTGCAAACCACCCAGGATTGGAAATTGTTCATTTCTCTTTGTCTTCCCTAAAAATGCCTTTATAAAAATGAACCCTAACTATTCCCTAAGGCTGTCGTCTATACCTTTTCTGGGGGTGGAAAGCTCATTGATGAAGATGTTTTGACAAGCTCTTAGACTTACTTTCCTTTTTATTGACTGTGATAATAATTTTTAGCACAGGATGGATTAATGGATTAGGGTTCAGTCTCCTTTCTGAGAAGCTATTTTTATTAATGAAGGTCACAAGGATGGTGGTGATGCAGAGTAGGAGAGGAAACACAGCTCTCTTGACAGCTGGTCCCAAGCCCTTTCCTCCCTGTCATCTTCCCTCCTTCCAGGACTTCTTAGTTGGGCAGCTCCAAGTATTATTCTGCTCATTCCTCCAAAAGACTTACTACCTAATAGTTACATACCAGGTTTGCTCCAGGGTATTTACATATGACTGCAAGGAAAAAGGCTTCTAGGTCTTGGGCTCTGAGAGGACCTAGTCCTGGCTGCTCCTTCCTCACCAAGACTCTCAGGTAGTCTTTTGTGCAAAGCACTTCTGCACCTCCCCGTCCCCCAAACCCCCATCTTTATTGAAGCCTTTCATTAAACACCCCTTCTCCCACCACTTTCCCCTTTGGAACCCTGGACTCACAAGAATATGAAGGGCTTTCTCTGCACTGACCTTGGGCGCCACAGCTGAGTTCCTGAATAGAAACTGAAACCACCCAGCTCTGACTTACAAAAGCCAGGGCTGTCTCTTGCCCAGTTTGGCAGGGTTTGAAGTTTGTGATGCCAAACTTTACTGGGATCGCTGAAAATCACATGTCACTCCCACTTTGACCCAAGACAATAAAAACTGTTGGTTGACAAAAAAGCAAATTGAAAGTGCTTATAGGTGCCTGGAGAGAGGCTGGCAGGCTGCATCTGGGTTTCCGCTTCTCGATCTGCAGGGCAGTTACTCCTGCCTGCTCTGAGAATGCAGACCCCATGGCTGGGGGACGCCCAGGGTCCAGCATCCACTGGGATTGTGGCCTGAGTGTACAGAAAAGCTTCCTTTATCCCTTCCCCCTGCAGGGGACAGGGACTCGTCTTTGGGTTCTAAGATCAGAAGCCACTTTCTAGGGCTCAGTTTCCTGCCATGCATGGAATTCCCTCCTCAGGGTGGTACTGATTGAAACCCCCCCAGAGTAAAACAAAGACTAATTCCAAGAAAAATTCTCTCAAAGTTTGGATCCTTCAGTGAGTCTCCTCATTGGGACCCAGAGTGTGATCTTCAGGGAAGACTGAGATGACTTTCACTGAACCCACCTGGGAACAGTGGGCTCAGACAGCGCCTCAGGGCTTACAACAGCCTGGAGAGGAGCCCTGCCTTGTGTCCCACCCCCCCCTTACCTTGGCCTGTCCCAGGTGGATGCAGTCCCTAGTGTTGGCCACCAGGCTTCAATAAAGATGAAATGGAAGGGAGAGTGTGGAGAAAAGAGGGCTGTGGAGAGAATGGTTGAAATACTAAAGAAAGAAGAGAGGAAGATATGGGGGGAGGGGATAAGAATTTAAAAAACAAGAATAGCAGAAAGGGGAAAAAGATGTAGAGCTTGGAATGTCTGCAAGTCTGTGGCTCTGCTGTCCACATCACCCCCTTACGATTCCAGAGCAGGATGAGCCTTAGAGACCCCACAACCTCCACTACAGAAAGAACTACAACCTTCCTCCATTTATCATATTTAAAACAAAAACCAGCAGGCAGTGATGGCACAAGCCTGTAATACCAGTGATGTGGGAGGCTGAAGCAGGAGGATCACCAGATTCAAGACCAGCCTCAGCAACTTGAGAGGCCTTATGCAACTTAGTGAGACACTTTCTCAAAAATAATAAAAAAGGGCTGGGAGGGTATACTGAGCAATAAAGTGCCTCAGAGTTAATCCCCAGTACCTCCAAAAAAGTATATGTATTGATAGATATAGATACATATTAAGCCAAAAAAGAAATGTAAGGAAGGGTAATAGAACTCTGATTATGATCCCAAGAAGTTTTTAAAACATATTTAAAATGTATTTATTTCGGGGCTGAGTCCATAGCTCAATGGTAGATTACCTCCATAGCCTGAACCAGGCCCTGAGTTCAATCAAATACCCACAAATCCAGAAAGGTTGTGTTTCAGGCATGCAGACTTTCCCTACCCTGAAGCTCAAGCATAGAGGGCTGGGAATGTAACCAAGTGTAATGTGTTTGCCTAACATGTATGAGCTCCGCCCTCCCCTGCCCAATCCCCAGCACCACAAAAACAAGTATCTACAAAAGTACTTTCTCTTTTTAAAAAGAAGTTTAAATTCTGATATGAAATAAAAATGAACATCCAGTCTCAATTTAGAATTTGATTGTATCCAAATGTAATAAATACATAAAATACAATAAATGATTGAAAATACTAAAATATCTTTTTAAATAAATTTCTTGACACATTAAATAGCCAGACCTGGAAGCAGGTCTCATAGTACCAATGATATCACAGCAACAAAGAGCATAAAGGATGTGTTGAGCTCCCTGCTACAATGCAATGAGAGATGCAAACATCAGTGAATTTAGTGGTCAAAGTAGGAGATATGGCTCCTCCTATCCTGGAAGAATATGCTGATTCTCAGATAGAAAGAAAACATGTATTTTATTATTTCTAGCTTTTATTTTTACCCTTAATCTAAGGACATCTTTTGTGAACATTTTGTCACCATTGTTCTCTTTCCTTCACCCCTAAATAAACATATGACTTTTCTTAAGATTGCTGTGCTTTTGGACAATAAGGTGAGACACCATAACACACTTTCTCACACTCTCTCTCTCTTGTTGTTGTTATGGAGGATTGAACCCAGATGCTTAACCACTGAGCCAAATTTCCAGTCTTTTTAAACTTTTTTTGGGGGAATGATACCTGGGATTGAACTCAGGGGGCACTAAACCACTAAGCACATCCCCAGTCCTATTTTCTATTTTATTTAGAGACAGGGTCTCACTGAGTTGCATAGTGCCTCACTGTTGCTGAGATTGGCTTTCAACTCATGATCTTCCTGACCCAGTCTCCTGAGCTGCTGCTATTAGAGGTGTGAGCCACCATGCTTCTTTGTTTAATTTTTTTTTTTTTGAGCATGGTCTTACTACATTGCTTAGGGCCTTGCTAAATTGCTGAA